TAGAACATGACTGAAAAACGACTGACCCACTAATTAGCATAGAGTTTATAGAAAAATGTAGAAAAGGTTTTAAGAGTTTTTTTTAAGTTTGTTTTTTAAGTAGGCTTACTCATTTACCTGTCAACTTACTGAAATTATTTGTTAGATTAACAAATGTTCTTTCAAAAGTAATGGAAAGGTGAGAACCTCAGCAGGTTGGCAACGTGATGAATTTTCTAATCAAACCAACTCTCTAAGACAATATACTAAAGTCATAGGGGTGAGGTCAATGGAGGGAGTATCCAAACTGACAAAATTACAGATCCTTGAGGTATTAGGAGAGACAACTTAGCTTATTTCTGAATTGTCAGAGTCCAAATTAACGATCTTCTGATACACTTCTAAGATGTTATGCGTAGCTCTGTATACCATCATTTGTTGCTGTATAAAGTATTAGTTGCTTTGAAACAGAATAGAAAAGCTACCTAAATACATTTTCTGAAAACTAGGTAATGATGGGATTACTACTTGTACAACTATTGTCACATTTATCACCAATTATAGTGTCACATAACTCACTTCATTACTCCTTGTTAAGGGAAAATTGGTGCTAACATATTCATTTTCCAGTTCTTGGATCCTCTACTGGTCACCACTATAGTCCTTGTATATTCAAAAGTATTTAAGGAGATAAATGTAAACACCTGTAAATACTATGACTTCTTTAAAGGAAACTTAAATTATCAGTAATGATGATATTAATGAAATATAAATCTATGCAATATGTACAACGAAGTATCCTATGAAAGCCTTCCTTAGTTTTGACTTACTGTACCTAATGGGATGTAGACAAAAGCATAAATAAGTCTCATTCTCTCAATATAACTGAGCCCTTTTGCAAAGACTTTTGCAAAAAAAAGTTTATATTGAGAAAATGAGACTCCCATATGTTACCATCAATGATTTACACTGACATGATTTCACCATTTCACTCTACACAGTGAGTTACCTGATGATATCTATATCACCTAGGCAGATTTCCGATAAGAATAAACCAGATCGCTAATTATTAAAACTAAAACCTTGAGGTCATGTCTACAGCAGGCTACACAAGAGCTAAAAAGTGAAAAATATTATTCATAAATTTGATCTCTTCCAAATATATAGCCATTTCCAAATATTTCCCAATATCTAGACTGTTGGTGTTATATAGATCAAATTTATAGATAACTGGTAGAAATTTTTAATTTTCATTTGGATATGCATCCATGTAAAATAGCCATATGGTATATATTTTAATATGCTTTTATTTTCTTCAAATGTCTGGTATGCTTTTTAATAAAATGACAATGCTTAAAGTTACATGTATTACACTGTGTAATATGTAGAGAAGCAAGGTAGTGAAGGAGAAAGAATACTCATGGAGATGTTGGGTTCCAATGCTAGCTTTCTTGATAACTAGCTAATATCATGAGTCATGTTATACCTTTGATTTTCACTTTTCTCATATCTACAGTCGGAATTCCAATAATATCTGTCCAACTTCTCCCACAGGTAACTATGAGGATAAAATGAAGATGTACATAAAAATGCTTTTAAAACAAAGCAATACAAAAAAGTAAAGGATTTTTATGACATTTGCAAAGGATCACTTATGATTATGGGTAAACACAATACAAAATTATAACAGTACATGCATTGCTGCCTCCTGCTAAATTTACCATTTTATGAGTCCCTTAGAAATCAAACTTAAATAAGCAACTCTAAACACACAGCTGAGATCTATGTTACTGCAGATCAAACACTGATGGACTCAGTTTTTAAAACTGGGTATTTGTAAAAGCTTCAAAATCTCAAAGTGAAATATTTTGATAAAAGTCATGTTTTCAGATGCTTTGGTCCAGAACTATAATTTTTTTCCTTGTAGAGAAAACTCCCGGTATGGAAACTGCTTCCACCAATGAAGGATGGCAAATTGCCTATAAGTATTCCTTTTAGGTTGTTACCTGGGGCACTGGTAAACAAAGTGGCTTCCCTGGGGTCATAAAGCCAAGAAGCTCAGAGGTGAGAACTGAACACTGGGTATATCCATTTCAAGCCCAGTCCTCTGTCCATTATGCCATGCTGCCTCTCTTTAAAATGATTGTATGCTTAATTCTCCTTGATCATTTTCCAGTTTAGGAACTAAGTTAATCTTCCCTTTCTGGAATAAAAAAATATATTTTGACCTACATCAGGCCATTAAAATAAAGCGAGTCTACAACTTACAGCCCAAGTGGTAAACACTCTCAAACAAGTTATTTTCATGAAAATATTTAAAAAAACAATAAAGGGAGAAAAATGAACAAAAATATAATATATACATATATAAATAGAATTTTATAAGAATATTTTACAAATGTTTCCAAGAGCTGTAATATGGTTATTTTATTATTTAAAAAAAAAACTTCAATGTATTTTAGTTACTGGGGAGAAAAAACTGAAGCCTATCACAGTTTAAAACAATGAAGAGACTAAACTATGAAGAAATGAGGAATAAAACAGAAATATCAACTTATCCCCACAGAGGGGATCATTACTGTCACTACTATACTGCAGAGCAAGGACAATATGAGGTATTGAACAATATGTACAAATATACACTTAGGGTTTGATATTGTACTTGCTCAAGGCCACTAATATATTTGCAGAGCAGCAAAAATTATTAACAGAACAACTAAAAACCACTCAGCTTAATAAAAAGGCATCATTAATTAGATAAGTAAGGGGGAAATGGAAGAAATTCCCTATAATTCATTTCACACAACCAGGATGTTCACCTATAATATTTTTGTTTCAATTTGCCCAGTATATTAACCCATCGGAGATCAATCTCTGGCATGGGTCCAAGATTGCTACCAGTATATCAGACTGGAATGTACGTATTCTTATTATATGGACTTATCATTCCTGATTAAGTAGTTTGCAAATGCACACAGTAGGGAGTGGTAGAGGAGACACTTTTTGACAACATTTCTTCACAACAGTAACTGAGTTATATCAGTTCATGTCAATAAGTTGATATTTAGAAGAGTTGGCACCAGACATCAAAAAGGTGTGCTAACACCATATTCGTGCCTTCATGCAGAACGTTTAATGTTGACGTGTATTACATGAATGCACTGTTAGGAAATTCGAAGAGAGGTGATAGATATTAATGCCAAAAGAATGGAATTCAATTTCAGGAGTTAGCTTGTTACATGGTTGAGGGAAATTGTATCTCTTTCCCACCAATTTTAAATCAATTTATGGCTCTAGTTATTAAGATTTACTATTTTGCTAGCATTCAATATATCTTCAAGATACTGGTACTTGTTTTGGTAGTTTGCAAGGAGATCTCGGTAGGAGTGGCAACCACCCATAAGGGATTAATTCACAAGCACTTGGTTTACAAGCAGTAAGTATCATTTCATTTTTTATATACAATAGATCTGGTTGATAATTGCTAGTGATCAAGTTAAATCTGAACTGGGTGGAGTTTGGCCAATGGCTATTTCTACCAAACAGAAATAATATTTCAAACACAAATGACTTTTCGTTGACGTACAACTATGGAAAGGGCTATTCTGTGCCTTCTTGGGCAGCATGGCAAAGTCTATGCAAAAGGAAAGCTTTATACAATGACACAAGAACAGTCACTTTTCACCCCTAACAGATGGCACAACTGGTGTCAAAGGTCATTAAACACTAGTAGATTCACTGAGGTATGGTTGCTTGATGGAGGATTGGGAGGCCACACACACATACAGGCACTCAGGGAGATTCTAAAATGGCATTCATATCCTAGGTTACTTTAAAGTGACACGTGAAAATAAAATAAGAAAAAATCACATTCTCAGCACTGAGCACTATAAATACATCTATGCATGTACATTTACGAAATGGAAAGATTGAGCAAAACAACATCAATACTTAGATTTGACAACATGGATTTTCTTTTCTTTTTTCTCCGTTTTCTTTATGGGAGGAGGGAGGAGCACTCCTCTCTCTACCCCAACCATGAAAACATTATCTACCTTTTTGTGTTATGGCATTCAAGTGAATGAATGACCTGTTGGGACACCTGATTGGTTTGAGTTTCATGTCTATGCATTAGAATAAGACCCATCATTCATGAAAATGGCTAAAGAACCCATAGCAGTTTGAGGGAACCATCCTGAATGTTTACTGCCTTAATTCCCCGAGAGGCAGGAGAGTCTTTCCAAGCAGTTTCAAAGTTTGCATAAGTTTAGAAATAGAGAACTTTTCATTGATCAGAAGAGGTTCATTGTTTTCAACATGTGGAGAATATAGTATACCATATATATGCGGTGCTTTCCACTAGAGATATACGGATATGTATACAGTATCTAAATGCATTCTATGCGAACATAGTTTTAACTCAAAGAATGAGTTGGCATCCTGATAATCACTGATAGACAATCTAAGTGCTCAGTAATTGGTACCAATCCTGCAAGGGTTGTTGTACATTTCACATCACCCAAGTATTGGGGATCCTATAGAATCCCCCCTTTTTTTTCTTCTTTCACGATAACACTGATTGTCATAGATTTTCTTTGTGCTTTTGCATAATGCCCATCCTGGATGTAACATAAGTTCACATACAAAACTTGGGACATCTGAAGAAACGCATGCTGGAATTATGGGCAGGACCCTACGACCATGCACAAATTACTCAGAATTGTTGTCTTCCAGACTGATGTCAACATGCACCATTGGGTATCGTATTTGGTCCTGTACAGTGAGGGCTTGTAAGTAGCAGCTGCTACCATGGTTACTTCTGACAGAAGAATTTTACCTTCATAGATAGGAAGAAGCCCCATACAAAACAAAGTGGAAGCAGAGCAAAACGAAAATGACCCTTTCCCACCAAACACCCTGCAAATCCGATCTTGTCTTTGCCATTTTGCTGTGAAGCATTTCCCTTTGAATGATGCTGCTTTCCTGGTATTTCATGTTACATTGTCTTTAAGGGAGACAGACTAGTGCCTGAGGGCTTTTCGTAACCAATGGAAAAGTTCTTCTTTGTAATACTTTTGCCATCGAACGTTGGCTTCCACAGTCTCCACAGCCCGGGAGAAGGATGCAGCTGCTGCCCCATCGTAGTTCTTTATGAAGTTTTTCAGCTGGAAAAATAATTTTATTTTGTTTTAAATAAAAATTCACTGATATCTTTTGTTTTTACATTATCTAATTTTCCCTCTATAGCCTTTCCTCCCCTCCAAAAAAGCCACCAATATAACAACAACCAAAAAAAAAATTAAAGATAAAAAATGGAGAGGAAAAGAGAAAAATATCAACAAAACCAATTAATACACCAAAAAAACCCCGACAGTATTTCCAGTGTTCAATAATCATGGCCCCTACCCCCTAGAACTCTGCAAAAGATGGGGGAGGTATCTTTTCATATCTCTTCTTTAGGACCAAAGTTATTCTTGTAATTCTGCAACATTCATTTCCTTTGGTTTTGTGATAGTTGTTCTTGGAAAGAAAATTTTAAATGATAAATTTGTATGTTGTGAAATGATCTCACAACTAACATATATAAACCAGAAACTCTTAGGATCCAGGGAGAAGGAACGCAGTATAGTATATACCACCCTGGTCTAGGAGTCAGGGAGGTCTGGGTTCAATCCTTGTTTCATGGACTAGTAATGAGACCACCCCCACACCCCACCGCCAGATCATTGCACCCTTCTTGGACTGTGGTTTCTCATCTGTACAACATAGATGCTTAGTTCTGTAACATTCACTTCTTAAGATTATTGTGAGGATCCAAAAAAATAAAGTATATTAAAGACCCTTGAAAATCATAAAGTGCCTTATCAATGACAGTTATTATTATAACTAAACCTCTGCATTCATCACAGAAGCAAACAAGATGTACAAAGAGGGTGATCTGACCCAGTCCCGGTCCACATGTTTCTTAACTGCAGTTACTTTGGGCAACTCATTTCAATTTCCTGAGCTGTTTCCTCATCGGTAAAATGGGGAGGAGGACTTGTGCTATCTCCTTCCCAGGGTTGTTGGGAGGATAAAGTGAGGTAATGATTGTGAGAGTGCTGAGTAAACTGTAATGGGCTGCACAGATGTAAGATAGAATGCTTGTTAATGAAATGCGACATGATAGCAGATCCTGCCAATTAGGTGTGACATGATTGGAGCTTGGGGACCTGTAAGGGAAAAGAGAGGGGGGGCAGAGTAATGTTTTCTGCTTAAGTAGCTCCTAATGCACCGATTTGTTTCCTGAACAAATATGAGAACGGACATATTGAATTTGTCATTGTGATGGTTCCAAGAACTAATGATAATGAAAGGGGCATGACCAGGTTAGTTCAGGTGCTAGAAAGTATTCATTGAAATAGGGGGAATAGCCTTTAGAGGATCTGTGATGTCACCTTCTTCTTGCTCTTTCCTCCAGGTGTTTTGGGGACACATTCCTGGTTCTTCTCCCACCTCTCTGACCTCTCCTTCTCAGTTTGCTTTGCTGGAGACTGAGTTTGAAGTCAATTCAACAAACATTTATTAAGTGACTACTATGTGCCAGGCACTGAGCTAAGTGCATAGCTATTGAGGTCATGCCTACTCTGGGCGTCCCACAGAGTCCTGTCCTCATCCTCTTCTCTTCTCTCTCTATACAATTTCACTTGATGCTTTCATCAACTTTAATGGATTGAGTTATCATCTCTATACTTATTCTCAAATCTACTTATCCAGCATTAACCTTTCTGATGACATCCAGTCTCATATCTCCAACTACTTATTTAACATCTTGAACTGAATGTCCAGTAGACATCTAAAACTCAACATGTCCAAAACAGAACTCATTATCTTCCCCCTACCTTTCCTATGACTGTAGAAGGCAACACCATCCTCAGGTTCATAGCCTAGGAGGCATCCTTAACTCCTCACTATCTTTAACCCCTATATCCAATCTGTTGCCAAGGTCTGTTATCTCACCTTTGCACCATCTCTCAAATGTGCCCCACCTCTTTCCTCTGACACTTTCACCATCCTGGTGCAGGTCCTCATTTGCTCATACCTGCACTATTGCAATAGCCTGCTGGTTGGTATGCCTGTCCTGAACCTCTCCTCACTCCAATCCATCTTCCATTCAGCCTCCAAAGTAATTTTCCTCAAACCCAGGGCCAACCATGGCACCTTTCTACTTGTAAACTCTAGTAATTCCCTATAACCTCCAGAATCAATACAAAATCATCTGTTTGGTGTTCAAAGCACTACCTATACCCCCTTCTCTCTCTCTCTCTCTCTCTCTCTCTCTGTCTCTGTCTCTCTGTCTCTCTCTCTCTCTCTCTCTCTCTCTCTCTCTTTCACGCACATACACCTTTCAAATCTTCTTAAATCTTATACCACTTACACACACACACACACACACACATTCTTTGATACTAGCCTCCTTTCTGTTCCTTGAATTAGATGATTTCTGGTCATTTTCATTGGCTATCCCCCATGCTTGGAATGCTTTATCTCCTCAACTCCACCTCATGTCTTCCTTGGTTTCCATCAAGTCCTAGCTAAGATCCTACCTTCTACAGGAAGTTTTCCCAATCCTTATTTCTAGTGCCTTCTCTCTGTTTATTACTTCCTATTTATCCTGAATACAGTTTGTATATAGTTGTTTGCCTGTTGGTTCCTCTATTAGATTGTGAGCTCCTTGAGGGCAAAGGTTGTCTTTTGCTCTTCTTTGTATCCCTAGTATTATCATAGTACCTGGCAAATAGTAGGTACTTAGTAGAAGTTACTGACTGACTACTAGCACTATACTCCAAAGAGATCAAAGAAAGAAGATAAAGTTTTCTATGTACACAAATATTTATAGCAGCTCTTTTTAAAATGGCAAAGAACTAGAAATTAAGGGAGAGCCCACAATTAAGGAATAACTGAACAAATTATTCGAAGTGAATGTAAAGGAATACTACTGTGCTATAAGAAATGATGAAAGAAGTGGTTTCGGTGAAACCTTGGAAGATTTTTGTGAACTGATGCAAAATGAAATGAGCAGTCAAGGAAAATAATTTATATAATGTTGTAAAAACAAGCAACCTTCAAAGACTAAAGGACTCTGATCAATGTAAGGACCGACTATGATTTCAGAAGACCGACGCTGAAGCATACTACCAACATCTTAACAGAGAAGTGATACACTTAGATTTCAGACTGAGCATATTTTCTTTGGACATGACCAATGGGGACATAAGTTTTGCTTGATTGGAAATCTGTTTCTAGCATTTTCTTTTCTTTTTCTTTTTTCTCCCCTATAGTGCTGTAGAAAGGGTGGGATGCACTAGTTGGTAGAACTGAGACTGGATCCGTACATTGTGGAAAACAATTTGGAATTATGTGAGGAATTCTGGCAAACTCTTCATATTCTTTGATTCAATGATTCCACTACTCAGCAAATACTTCCAAGGAAATCAAAGACTCAAAAATAGAAGTAAAGTTTCCACGCTTTTATTTCACAGCAATCATGTGTGTGTGTGTGTGTGTGTGTGTGTGTGTGTGTGTGTGTGTGTGT